CGCAGACCTCAAGAAACTGGAATTACGAAACATTTTGAGACACATTTGGTCCAAACCGAAGGCAGTTCAGTGTGACGCTCGTCACAAATGCAACCTGTTTGCCGCTTGCATCCAGAGACGAAGGTCAAGTTGACTTCCAGAAGCCCGGCCTCGACTGGTCTTGTCCGCAGGCTCGATGTCCAATCTGATCTGGCCTTCGACCTGATCTGCCTTGAGGATCTTTCTCTGCACCTCCAACGGCATAAAAAGCAAAGCAAAAAACAAAGCAAGCCCAAACATCGCTTTCCCGAGACGCTGTCAGCAACAAAGAATGAAAAAAGAAACCGAAACCCTTCCCGCTCCTGGACGTTGAAGCGCACAAGCGCTCAACGTCCCTCGCGCCCCAAGCGCACATGCGCTGGAGCACGAGCGGAGCGGAAGGAGTCTCAGCGTCTATTACGAAACATTTTGAAGCACATCTAGTCCAAACGGAATGCAGCTGAGTGTGGCACATGTGACATAAACCCCTTGCAATCGAAGACCTGAAGAAACTGAAATAACGAAACATGTGGAAACACAGCTGGTGCAAGCCGAAGGCAACTGAGTGCGACACATGTGACATCAATCCCTTGCAATCGAAGACCTCAAGAAACTGAAGTTACGAAACATTTTGAAACACATTTGGTCCAAACCGAAGGCAGCTAAGTGCGGCACATGTCACTTCAATCTCTTGCAATCGAAGACCTCGAAAACTGGAATTACGAAACATTTTGAAACACATGTGGCTAACCGAAGGCAGCTGAGTGTGGCACATGTGACATCAATCCCTTGCCTTCGAAGACCTCAAGAAACTGAAATTACGAAACATGTGGAAACACATCTGCTGCAAACCGAAGGCAGCTGAGTGCGGCACGTGTCACTTCAATCTCTTGCAATCGAAAACCTAAAAAACTGGAATTACGAAACATTTTGAAACACATGTGGCTAACCGAATGCAGCTGAGTGTGACACGCGTCCAAGCAAAGCTGAAGCACAGTCCATAGCTGAGCCAAACCACGCAGTCCATAACTCAGGCAGTCGAAGATGCCAAGCCTACTGCACCAAAGCAAGACAAACAAATGACACACGCGCACTGCAAGCCTGTTTTTCTTCCTTGGTCTCACAAGCATGACTCTCTGGCTAAAGGTGCTGATGCTCAATTCGAATCTCGCAAATTGCGAGCGAGCAGCCTGCTTGGCTCAATTCCGCTCTGCGTCCTAGGCCACTCTCCGGACTTCGTCCTGACACAACTTCCTAAGCCTCTCTCCGGACTAAGCCTCTCTCCGGACTTCGTCCTGAGACTCCTGCGACGGCATGCAGGGAAACCTGAGCTGGCACCATCTCTCCAACCCTGCGCCAGCTGCGGGCGACTCTGCTGACCGCCAAGTAGTGGTCGCGAAGCCATGGCTGCGAAACTCCGCCAAGTCCACGAGGTAGACGTAGCCGTACGCCTTGCTGATGTGCCAGCCTGGGCTCAGCCTCTCGGGGTCAAACCTGCAAATCTCATCCTGCAGGCGATCGCGGAGGCTGCGCCCGATGCCAGCTCCTGACGTCGCCGGGTGGATCACGTGGTGTGCCAGCTTGGCCATCAATGGGTGGCGCGGGGCACACACTATCCGCCCCTCTGCCTGGAAGCGGGCGGGATCCGTTGGCGAGGGCAGCGTAAGGGCGGATTACACACGCCGCCTGCGGCAGCACCCCAGTCCTCGAATTTCTCTCCTATTGCTCGCTCCCAGCAGGCCCATTGCATCTGAATCCCGAGCTCGTGCTGCTTGTCCCGGAGCCAAAGACCCAGCTCTACTCCAAGGCTCTGGCTGCCAGACACGTAAACTCCCCCGCTGCGGTACAACTCCATGTATCGCCACAGCGCAGCGATCGCACCCGGCTCCTTGCGTGCTGCTCTGAGGCTGGAGATGGGAAGCCTCCACTGCAGGAACTGCCACTGCTCTTCCTCGCCTGCGAACTCCCGGTAGAATCCAGGGCAGAAGATCTCCGCCGAGCAGCCGCAATCTTGGATCACGCGCCTCGAAAGCCACCAAAGCGGAGAGGAGCAGCACGCGAGCTGCGACCATAGGTTGGCAGTGAGCGGCATATCCGACCACAGATAACACATCTGCAACACATCCCGAAATGTCACTGCCTCTGTCTGCAGCAACGTCAATAGCTGCTGCTCCGCGTGCAGCCTGGCCATCTTCCTCTCAGCCGCGCCAGCATCCTCACACGGGCCTGGCACCAAGTTCCACCCCGCGCCTCCGCGGACGCGGGCTCGCAGTCTCGGGCCACTCGCTCCATCAGGTTGTTGAAAATCTCCTTTTTGCGCTCCATGGATCCCCAGAAGTGCGAGCCACTGCCGATGCCGAGCGGGGTGAACAAAGGCATGCCCGTCCTTCTCACCAGGCTTTCTCCATGGACCTGATGGTGGACTCTTTCACTCGCCAGGCGCATCGGGCCTGATATAAAGGGGTAAACTTGCCCTCTTGGTCGACACGCACAGCGTCACGCGCAGGGACCACGCTCAGCCCAACGCGCTTGCGCAAGAGCTGATCACGGCATTTGATCTCGTAGTACGAGTCGGCGATGCCAGCCCAGGTGCAGAGAAGCTTCTTCAAGATAGACATATGCCTGTTGCCTTTGGAGGCATGAATCAAACTCGCGCCAAGGCCGAGAATCAGCACATGCTTTGTTCCGCTGGACGACATCTTCACCACGTTGGAGCCGTACTCAGCATATCCGTTGCCGGTGCTGTCGGACAGCGCGAGCACATACTTGGTTGCAAAAGCTTCCTCCATGCTTTGAGCCACAAAAATCCTAGCCACGAACGAACAAAAAGATTTTACATGCGCCATGTCACTCTCAATAGGCCTGCCCCTGATTCGCATTCGCATGACGCAAGGCTCTCTAACTCTTTTCCACAAATGCAACCTGTTGGCCGTTCGCATCCAGAGACGAAGGTCAAGTTGACTTCCAGAAGCCCGGCCTCGACGGGTTTACTCTGAGGCTCGATGTCCAATCTGATCTGGCCTTCGACCTGATCTGCCTTGAGGATCTTTCTCTGCACCTCCAACACATTTTGAAACACATTTGGTTCAAACCGAATGCAGCTGAGTGTGACACATGTGACATAAACCCTTTGCAATCGAAGACCTGAAGAAACTGAAATAACGAAACATGTGGAAACACATCTGGTGCAGCTGAGTGCGGCACATGTCTTCCATCCCTTGCAATGGAAGACCTCAAAAACTGGAATTACGAAACATTTTGAAACACATCTGGTCCAAACCGAATGCAGTTGAGTGTGACACTCGTCACAAATGCAACCTGCTGGCCGGTTGCATCCTGCTGGCCGGTTGCATCCACAGACGAAGGTCAAGTTGACTTGCAGAAGCCCTGCCTCGACGGGTCTCTCGGCAGGCTCGATGTCCAGTCTGATCTGGCCTTCGACCTGATCTGCCTTGAAGTTGTCTCGTGGTTTGCGCGCTTGCTTTCGCAATCCCGCGGTCGCGGGTTCGATTCCCCCCTGGTCCGCGGCAGCTCCGGCCTGAAAATCGCAGCTTTTAAGTACAAACGTAGTACGCGGAGCGTGCTCCTGCAGCTCCGGCTGGAAAATCGTAACTTTTAAGTACAGACGTAGTGTGCGGAGCGTGCTCCTGCAGCTCCGGTTGGAAAATCGCAATTTTTAAGTACAGACGTAGTACGCGGAGCACATTCCCGCGGCTCCGGCTGGACAATCGCAACTTTTAAGTACCAACGTAGTACGCGGAGCACACCCCCGCAGCTCCGGCAGCACTTGCGCAGAGCAACTTGCGCAGAGTCACTTGCGCAGGGCAACTTGCGCTCAGCGAATTGCACAGAGCGCTTGCACAAAGCACTTGCGCAGAGCACCTTGCACAGACCAACTTGCGCAGAGCACATGCGCAAAGCGCTCGCACGGAGCAACTGGCGCAGAGCACTTGCGCAGAGCAACTTGCTCAGAGCACTTGCGCAGAGCAACCTGCACAGAGCACTTGCGCGCAGCAGCGTGCAGAGAGCAACTTGCCCGAAAGCAGCCTGGAACAGTGCAGCTTGCGCAGACCACTTTCGTGAGAAACCATGCAGCGCAACTTGAGCAAAGCACATTGCGCTGAGCAGACTCGCGCAGAGCTACGCTTTATAGAGCCAAGTTGCGCAGAGCCACTCGCGTAAAGTAGCTTGCGCTCGCCAGGCAGTAGCGCGCCAAGTTGCGCAGAGCCAAGTTACATAGAGCCCAGTGGCACAGAGCCGAGTGGCACAGAGCCAAGTTACAGAGCCAAGTTGCACGGAGCCAAGTTGCACAGAGCCAACTTGCACAGGGCCAAGTTACATAGAGCCAAGTGACATAGAGCCGAGTTACCATAGAGCCAATTTACCATAGAGCCAAGTTACATAGAGCCAAGATACATAGAGCCAAGTTGCACAGAGCCAAGTTGCACAGAGCCAACTTGCAAAGAGCCAAGTTACACAGAGCCAAGTTGCACAGAGCCAAGTTGCACAGAGCCAAGTTGCACAGAGCCAAGTTGCACAGAGCCAAGTTGCACAGAGCCAAGCTGCACAGAGCCAACTTGCACAGGGCCAAGTTACATAGAGCCAAGTGACATAGAGCCGAGTTACCATAGAGCCAATTTACCATAGAGCCAAGTTACATAGAGCCAAGTTACCATAGAGCCAAGTGACATAGAGCCAAGTGACATAGAGCCAAGTTACATAGAGCCAAGTTACATAGAGCCAAGTTACTAAAAGCCAAGTTACATAGGGCCAAAAGCACATGATGGGAAGCGCTTGGGGAAAAATGCTTTCGGGCCAGTCGTCCTCTAGTTTTTATATGGGGGGGGGGGTTAAACATGGACTTTTGGGGCCAAGTGAGATTCGATTCCCGCTAGGCGGGGTGATGTCTCGAGAGCGATTATTGAGCCCTGAGCCAACATCACGGCTTGGTTTGGCGACGGCCAACCAGCGCAGTGGCGCAGGCAATTGCCCACTTGCTCCTGAAGCTGAACATTTACGCTTCAGGTGTGCGGTTGGGAAGGGGGGAAACGCAAAACGCTCACTCCCGGACTAAGAGGGCACATGTGCATCTTCCAAGTCGGAGTCCTTCAACGACAAATCAACATTTGGGCATTTCGCAACTGAGCCCTTCTTTCACGCGGTGATCCCGTTTTTTTTGTCAGACACGGTTCTTGTGGGATGCTTTCTTTCGGGGACCTAGGGAGGTGCAGCTCAGGCATGGTGCGCATCCGCCTCAACGAGATCGAGCCGCTGCACACGCGCCCGTGCCCCGGGCAGGGAAGCGACGCACATCATGGGGCGACCCGACGCCCAATGCAAATATGAGGTCCAATGCCCAGATGAACACCTGATGTCAACCTAGGATTAGCCCGGACGGTGCTGACCAGGTTCCTTTTTGAGTCGGGCACGGAATAATTTGATTTGAATATTTAGAGATGCGTGCTGGAGATTCCCAAGCACAAATATCCTGGTGCCGGCTCTTATGAGTCCTTGCAAGGTTTCGGGCGCACACCCTCCATTTGCAGGGTTTGGGCTGTGACTGCCTCTAAATAATTTCACTTTTGTCTTTCAGCATAATGTGTATTCATGAAGGTATGGGAGCAGCCCAATGGTACCAACGCGCAGAAATGGTTGTCATGCAGTCGGAGAGCAGGAGTAGGGGGAGGAGTAGGAGTGGAGTAGGGCTCGGAGTAGGAGTCGGACAGGAGCAACAGTAGGGAGTGGGTGTAGGAGCCGGACTTGGAATGTAATTAGAAGTCAAAGTAGGAGTCCGGGTAGGACTCAGACTCAGAGTAAGCAGGAAGGGGTCGGAGTAGGAGTAAGGAGTGGGGGTGGGAGCAGGAGTCGCAGTAGGAGTGGGAGCAAGGAGGAGTAGCAGCAGCAGTGAGAGAAGAAGCAGGAATAGGAGTAGGGCTAGGACTAGAAATAGGAGAAGTAGTAGGAGTAAGGACTAGGTGTGTCGGAGTAGGAGTCGGAGTAGAAGTCGGAGTAGGAGTAGTAGGAGTGAGTGGAAGTTTGGAGCCGGACTAGTCGGGGGTCGGCGGGGTGGTGGTTTGAACGGCCCGGGTCTCCGCCCTCCGTCCAGATTTGGCGTTTTGTTTGAGGCCACGAGATCCCGGCCGGGGATGTGGTGACAGAACCCCCGCCCAAGGCGGCGCAGGCGGGAGGGATTCAGCCCAGCGGCCTCCAAATGATCTGGGTGAGTTTGTAATGACCTCACACGACCTCACCCCAAATGGTGGTTTATGTGGGGAATATTCTCCCCCAACCACCTTATTTCAGGTTGGATAAATATAATCCTCCCAGAATGAGGCAGAAAGCAATGAAACGTCTCATTCCCTCAAAACGCACAGGCTCAGAGCCAAAGTGACCTTTGAAACTGAAGGCATTGAATTGTGCAAGCCTGTTCCAGCAAGAAGAAAGGTCAAGGTAAGCACCACTGAGAGGAACAAATCCTCAGGCAGTGAACGCAGTTGGCAGTCAGGGGGCTTGCGGTTTCTGGGGGGGGGGGCAGCTAATGACATTTCATCAGATCCCAGATTGTGCACAGGAAGGATATTGAAGATCAGTTTGATTGAAACAGTGCCGACCGCGTGCGATCGAGCAAATTTTGGCTGTTCGCTGTTGCGCGCAAGGTGTCAACGGCCGAGGAGACTGGTAAGACTGTCTTCAAATTTGCGGCACCAGACGGGACGGAGGTGCAGGCCGACCATGGGCTAAGCAAATGGGCAGCTTCCTTTCCGGCTTTGACATAGCTTCCGCACATTTGGCTTCCTGACCTTTCTGCCGGAAGCTTTCTATGCCTACCATCCCAACTAACATGGAACCCACCAGAGTGTCCCGAGAGCAACATGCTGGGCCCCCGAGCTAGGTTCCAATTTTTATGGCTGAGGGGAGTATGGGAGACGTTTTGAAGCCGGACTCGCAGCGTGAGGCCTCTCTGCATCATGCGCCCCTGGGTTTAGAGGTGGCGGTGGGAGGGCAGGTCCTGCAGAGGTCGCGACCTTAGTCGGACTTGAACAATGCTTTCATCCCATGCCAAACAACTCCATTTTCAGAGATCCCCTTGCTTGGCGTGATCCTTGGAATGCCTTGGCATTCATTTGACATACAATAACCCTGATTTGCACTGCTTTCCGGGGTTGTTTTTTGGGCGCCACTGAAATAGCATCGATCCTTGCAGACACCTGCGTACGCGCCGGCGCAGAGTGTTCGTGGGCCTGTGTGTACGCACATGCACGCCTACCTGCATGCACACGTGCAAGCGTACGTCATGCACGTGCAAGCGCACGTGCGTGCAGGCGCATGTGTGTGCGCGTGTGCACTTATCGTGCATGATCATGCATGGTCGTGCTTGATCGTGCACGCAGGCGAGATTAAGAGCGTGCGTGAGTTACGTGTGTGCATGGTGTGCATGGTGTGCATGGTGTGCATGGTGTGTGTGTGTGTGTGTGCGCGCGATTCATAGCTAGAGGACTTAGCACTCGTCTTTGGTCAAGTTTTATCCTGGATGCGCCACATTGTGGCTGGTGAGTGAACGTCACTTCAGAATATTGCAGCCTTTGAATGCAGCCAGCACATCGCAAACAGCCAACACAACTTTGTTTTTGCATCAAGGCTACTTTGAGCTAGTGGGAGCTACCAACAGTGTAAACACCATTTGGGTGTATCAATGCTGTTTGACCGGAATTCTCCGGCTGCCCTGTTCTTTAGCAGCCTGCTGGTTTCAATTCAACTCTGTACTCCGTGCTGAGGCTCAATGCACGCAACTTGCTCAACTTTGAGCGCTACCGAAAGCCCAAGGAGCTCAACTATAGCCAAGCATCCAGATGAAACGGTGGAATTCTGGAACAGTTGTGGGATCACGGGGTTTACCCCCACTTCTGTGATACAAGTGAATCTACAGCCCTGTTCTGGAACAAACACGTTGGGAAACTTCATCGGCAACGCTTGATGACCCTTTAAGGATTCAGAAGGACACTCTTGGAATGTAAGTATTTGCAGAGACTCGGACTCTTTGGATGGCATTTCTAACCTCTTGTGAGCATGCAGCTTGGACACGAGCGCGTTGCTGATGATAACAAGGCCGTTATGACCGTGATGACAAAGATGGCAGCGCTCATTTCAGAGATGTTTGCAGCTACGTTTCTAGTCAGGCGGTGGCACAGTGGCAAGGGTATGACAACTTGGACAACCGACTGCACTCCAGGAGAGATTGCCGCCGGATTCCGCTGCCGTGGCTTCACCAGATGCGGTGCCCGGGTGTCAATTGCTCTGAGAGTCCGACAAGAGCCTGCCCAACAATCTGAAAGACATGCGGAGACTCGCAGACTTCCTTCCAGCATTGGAGGCAGTCCAACCTGCCACAAACTTGTTGCCATTGTGTGCGGGAGAGATCGCAATGTTCCCTGGACACCTTCTCAGAGGTGCATTTTGCTTGGATGTCAGGACTTTAACTTGTTGCGAACTAATGGGTTTTCCATTAAACCACCAAAAGCTAAACTTTTAGCAGGGTAGCAGAAAGCAGCCGAGTTCTAGTTGAACTTCATAGGCTCATAGGCAACGCTCGCCACAGGTGCTGCTCGATGCGGCGGCTCATCCTCATGAGCTCGATACAAATGCGCGCGCCCCGTGACACTGCTCCTGTTCCTGCTGTTTCCTTTCGCTGAGTTGACCATGGGGTCAAAATCCCATACCCCCCGTGAACATCCCAATCCCCACCAAAATAGGTTCCAAAATGGGTGGTGCACCTACCCCAAAATGGTACCATTGGTTTTGACCCACAGCCAGTTCCTTGATTCATTGCCGCCTTTCAAGTCCGTATCGCGCATCTTCGTGGGAATCGTGTTCTGCAAGAGCGTTAGCAGCGCAACTAGTCGCCACTGTTCTTTTTTTTCCGGGGGGACTGATTGGTCTCCCAAGGCGTGCATTGCGACGTCGCTCCTTCAAGGTCTCCCTCCTCCCATTTCTTTGTTCATGTTACCCTCCCCCCCCCCCCCCCCCACACACCCTCATGTTACCCCAAAAGCTCGTGACCCGGTTTCCCCCCCCCCCCCACCCTCATGTTACCCAAAGAACTTGTGACTCGGCTTTCCCCCCCTTCATGTTACCCAAAACTTGTGACCCGGTTTTCCCCCCCCCCCCCACCCTCATGTTACCCAAAAGACTTGTGACTCGGCTTCCCCCCCCCTTCATGTTAACCAAAACTTGTGACCCGGCTTCCCCCCCCCCCCCACCCTCATGTTACCCAAACAACTTGTGACTCGGCTTCCCCCCCCCTTCTACCCAAAACTTGTGACCGGTTTCCCCCCCCCCCCCCCACCCTCATGTTACCCAAAAAGCTTGTGACTCGGCTCCCCCCCCCACCCTCATGTTACCCAAACAACTTGTGACCCGGCTTCCCCGCCCCCTTCATGTTACCCAAAACTTGTGACCCGGCTTTCCCCCCCCTTCATGTTACCCAAAACTTGTGACCCGGTTTCCCCCCCCCCCCCCCCACCCTCATGTTACCCAAACAACTTGTGACCCGGCTTTCCCGCCCCCTTCATGCCACCCAAAACTTGTGACCCGGCTTTCCCGCCCCCTTCATGCCACCCAAAACTTGTGACTCGGCTTCCCCGCCCCCTTCATGCCACCCAAAACTTGTGACCCAAAACTTGTGACCCGGCTTCCCCCCCCCTTCATGTTACCCAAAACTTGTGACCCGGCTTTCCCCCCCCCTTCATGTTCCCCAAAACTTGTGACCCGGCTTTCTCCCCCCTTCATGTTACCCAAAGCTTGTGACCCGGTTTTCCCCCCCCCCCTCATGTTTTCCCCCCATTAAGAAAGAAGAACAACAAGACACGCGACACCAAGCTCCAAAGAAGACCAGGCATTGCTTCCGATCTGATCTGAGGGCCTTTGGGAGGAGCCCTTCGGAGGCCACACGGACCAGAAGCCCCGAGGCACCGTTTTTTGTTTTTGTTTGGGGGGGTGTCCTTTGCTTTTGGCTGTTTGTTTGTTTGGGGGGGGGGGTTGTTTGCGGGGAGGGGGGGGGGTCACTTTTCTTTTGGTGGGGGGGGGGGGGTACTGTTTTTGGGTCGGTTTGAGGGAAACTATGGGGTTGGAGGGAATTTGAGGTACTCTTTTTGGGTTGGCTCGAAAGGAAAGAGGGAAAGCTCACGAATTTTCGGGGGCTGCCCCCACTTTGAGACAAACCTGATCCAACCAGCGATACATTTCGCCCAGCTTGGCAAGAGCCCAAACCCCTTGTCCAGGTGCCTGGCAAACGCCTGGGGAAGGAAGTGGCTTCTCTATTGCTCTCAAGCAATGGATCCCTGGCTTTGCTTCTGAGACCCTGAAACCAAATTGCAGTGGTTGTCAAAAATGGGGCAACCCCAAGATGGGTTGCCCTGCTGCATCGAACCAAGTTGACTAAAACCTGCGGATTACCCAATGGCTGGTGGCTTAACTTTGATCCCTTCCCAAGTGGACTGTGGACCAATTTGCACGATGCAAAGATCTCTCTCCTTTTTTTCAGTCGCCCGAGCCACACAGCTGCGACTGGTCCGCGCCAAAGCGCAGGCCCAGCCTCGTTGGGAATGGACGTCAGCTTTCTGGCGGGGAGGGGGGGGGGGACTGTGAATTGGAGGCATATTTTTTTTATTTCATTTTTGTTTTTTTAACCATTTTTTTGTTAAAACAAAAACACAACAACAACAGGTTTTGATAAGAATCGCTGGCACTCTGTTCTTGTATCCAGCGGCACGAGTGCTGAAACCGTCATGGACATGATGCAATTGACAGTGTGGATGAATTTGATCCGCTTGATCAGCCTGTCTCGTATGCGGACGGCAAGTGAGGTTTCACTCGTTCAATGCACAGTGAACTAGGTGACGAGCTGCGGGGAACCCTTCCAATTTGCGCAGTATCATTATCATTTGCAGTAGCCTTTCATGAGGTGTCACATTGTTGGTACTGCATGCACACGTTTCATGTGCTGATCATGCACCCGTGTGCCTGTTCTGCAAATGAACATCTGTCTCCCTGCAAGGGCGATGTGCCATCGCTCTTTGGCTTGCCAGAGCATGCGACCAAAGCGACAAGCTCAGTCTTCTGCACAAAGGACGACCATGATGCATTCGTGGGGGCTGGGGGGATGGAGGGGAGGGGGAGGGAGCCCAAATAAGCCCTAAATCTAAATAAGGCCTTAATACAGGCTTATTTGCGCCCCCCCCTCCCCAGCCATGATTCATGCTGCCTCGATGTAGCGAACCCTTGTGCAAGGCCAGCCTGCCCTTCTACCAGGAGCCATACCGCTTCTTCAACCTAGACGTCTTCGAGTGCGCGGCGTTTTGCCTGGGGAGCAACTCTTATCATGCAAGAACACCAGCGCAAAAATAGAAACTCTGCGTCGGACTTCTGGGCTCCGAATGTCGGTCCGCAGGTCACTGTGCCTTTTGGCTGGCGCGCCGATCAGAGGTACGAGATCGATGAGCCCATGGCTCTGTACGGTGCCATTCCCATCATTTGGGCGATCCATCGCTTGGGCGGCAAGACCATGGCCTCCGGCTTCCTGTGGATCAACCCCTCGGACCGGGGCGTTAGGCAGCTTCTTCCCCCCAAAGTTGGTGGCCAGGAAGGAAACCACGAGAAAAACGGCTTTTCTTGAAGAAAGCTCACCGTGTTTTCTGTGGGCCAGGAGACTTTTGTGAAGCTGGAGAGGGATGGCTCTGGCAGTGGGCCTGCTGGCACCTTATGCAAGCTGGCATGGAGTGAATTTGCATCCCAAAAACCTGCCTGGGTTCAAACGAGGACCTCCACACCTGGTTTTGTTTATGTCCGAAGGAGTTGCGTTTTGCAGAACGGTTATTCCAAGTCCTAAAAACTTGGCAGCCCCGAACTCGTCCCATGCCAATTCTAACAGGCCCACGGGCAAGGCCGCGCCCATGCCCACGCCCCACTGGTCAGCAGTGAGGCCCATGCCTGGTGGACCAGCGAGAGCGGAGTCCTTGACACCGTCGTCATGGTGGGCCCCACGCCAAAGCAGGTGTCAGCGCCGGACGCCCAGTGTCCAAGAACGTGCGCGGCGTGAATGCTTTCTCTTCTTTTGAGGGGTCGCCCTCATACTATGATATTACTTTTTTTGTTTGGGTGTCCCGGTAAAATGAACACCAACCCAAAAGGGCAAAAGGAATTTCCGAGTTTTTTGGACTCTCTGGGCTGGCTTGGATGACGCGTTTTTCCGGGAAGGCAGTTCCACGACCTCACCGGGCACGGCCCCATGCCTGGCCTTTGGGCGCTGGGGAAGCACCAGTGCCGGTGGAACTACATGACCGAGAAGGCACGGTGGCTCCTTTCGGCTGGGAAAGGGGGGCCACCGTCCTGCTGTGTGCACGCTCACTGCTTCTCTTGCGCCGAAAGCTTCGATGAAAACTTCGAAGCCAAGCTTCAGGATGTTGCCACCGTTGACAGCATGTACGACAAGTACGACATTCCGTATGATACAATTTGGCCCCTCAGCAAGCACATGCGCACAGTGTCAAAAGACATTTGGCAAACTGGATCTGCAAGTGCTTGCGACTGAGGCTCGACATCGAGCACACCGATGGCAAGGCATATTTCTCGCGCTCTGCTCAATTTGAAGCGAGAGAGGAGCGAACCCGGCCGTGTGGAGAATCCGATGTGTCCTTTGGTGCATGTTGCTTGGATGTTAGGACTTCAACTTTTTGCCAACTGATGGGTTTCCATTAAACCACCAACAGTTTTTGACTTTTAGCGGGGGGAGCAGAAAGCAACCGAGTATCGAGGTGGAACTCGGCTGCGTTTCCCAACCCCAAGCAGATGGCCAGAGCCTCAAAATCGCCCGTCTGCCGGGAGTTTTTCCATTGGGCGTGACCGGCCTGAGGTCGACAACATCTCGGCGAAGCGGCGGAAGTTTGTGAACGTGGTGGACCCGCACATCAAGAAGGACCTCCCACACAACCGGTGCATTCCGCCACGCCAAGGGCTTGAGAAAAGCCCTTGACACCAGGAAGAGAAGTTCCACGTGTACCGTGAGGTGGGCAGCGGCGTTCTAAGATCGTCTTTGCCTCCGATCTCTGGGGCCTGGACAGGTGCGCGACAAGGGCTTGTTTACCAAGAAAGTGACCTACAAGCAGATTGACGATCCGTCAGATGCGCGGACCTCGATCAGTCTGCGCAGCTGTCAAGGCACTTTTCAGACTTAAGGGCGACAAACTGACAAACAATTTGGGGTGGTTGGAATTGGTCGCCTTTTAAATTCCTTGAGGAAACTGAGATTTGGGTTGGGCCGACCAAGGGCGATGTCCCGTGTCCTGAGGCCAAGCCTGCCGATTGGGTGGAGGAGTCCAAGATCTCAGACCCTTCAGCAACCCAACCTCCGGAGCCCCGGACGCAAGCGACGAGAGGCTGCTTCGATGTCCAAGAAAATCAACGTTGCGGTGGAGGCCCGTTCATTCAACCTTCCTAGACTTTGGCAACGTGTTTTTTTCCGGAATTTCGAGGGGTGCACTGGCAGATGAGGTTTCTGGCTTCTCTTTTAGCGCGCTCTGCCGGGACTACGTTGCAGTGTTCAAGACATTCAAGACCACTGGCTCTGAAAGGGTTCACAAGGTCCCCAGGCCCCACCAGACGGAGAGGTGCATGTATGAGCTGTTTGCCAAGGAGTGGAATGCAGAGGAGGATGGGCCCTGGGTGGCACCGCAGATCGACAATCCTGCGTACAAGGGGGTGTGGGGCCCTTGGCGTTGCCACAGCCGGCCGGTGTTATCCTTGCCCTTGATTTGGGCCTGTCTGAGACGCCTTGTTGTCCAAGTCGTTTTCTGTATTTTGGCAAGCCCGCCCACATATTTGTTTTGATGCCAAAAGGCCTCTGAACGTTCTAGGGGTTGATTCCCCCTTCTTTTCAACCACTGTTCTTTTCAAAAACCGGCTGTTTCCCCGGGGTTTTTGATGGTTTCCTGAAAAGAAGGATCCCGGGAAAGAATGGAAATCGAAGGTATCGCTAGAAACGTCATAAAACGGGGCCTAGGACATTGCCCTTTTTGGGCCAGCCATAGCACTGTGGCAATGGTTCAAAACCAATGGTACCATTTTGGGATAGGTGCACCACCCATTTTGGGCTTTGTTTTAGTGGTTGGATTGCGATGTTTACTGGGGGTACGATTTGGCTTTGGCTTTTGACACATGGCCACTGTGGCAAACAAGAGTCCTCGACAAATCACCCTTGGCGCACGGCAGGTGGCATCCTCGAAAGATCAATGATCCAACCCCGGATCTCACCGACTTTGAAGGGTGCCAACCTCAGAACGGACACCTCTCAGGCTCAGAGAGAGAGAGAGAGAGAGAGAGATACAGAGAGAGAGAGAGAGAGAGACGCAGGGAGTACCGAAATGGGTGTTCCTTTGTTTATTTGGGACCCCCACCAACCCAAAAAAAGGTTTTAAGTATCACAGAAAAGGGTACTAAAAAAGACCCAAAACCAAAAAAAGGTAATCACACAGAAAAGGGTACGAAACAAGACCCACATTGGGGGTCTCCTACAGCTGTAGACCTGGTGGTTTGACCATAAAGCCGCTGAGCTACCCACCTCTTGCGCTGCGTTTTGTCCGCCCTCGCCGGCCTGCCTTTTCACGGTGTCCGTGCTGTGTTCTGCGCACGGCGAAAGTAGCACGATCTTCTGCAGACCGCCACCTTGCTTGTTGGGCATTTCAGCCCACTCACTTCCACTAAACAGAAGTTGTGTGTGTGTGTTCTCTATGTCATCAATGTGCCTGAGGTGGTGCTGGCCTGGAACCTCCCTGTATCCCGATTTTACCGAAGCCTGGCCGCACTGAGCACGGTTGGACGAGGCCTTTTTAGGGCGTGTGTCTGCTCAGAACCCGGAGATGCGGGAGTACTGGGGCTCTCAGTTTGCCCTGGACAAGTACGCCGGCACCAATGCCGACACCTACATTTGGTACGCCAAGGGCGCTGCTTGTACTCGGTGGGTCGTTTTCCGAGGGCACCTATTGGGGTCAGGGTTCCACTTTTTGACTACCCCGAGATAGACTTAAACCCAGGGGTGGTTCATTCCCCCCAAAAGGAGAACCCCTGGGTTTAAGTCTATCTTGGGGTAGTCAAAAAGTGGAACCCTGATTGGGGCTATTTTCAGAGAGGGAAGCCACCAATCTTTGAGGCCCCTAGTTTGAGACAAGCCCAAGTTATATGCACCCTGTGACAGCAAAGGATTGTGACCTTTGGAGCGACAGTGGCGTTCAGTTTTTTTTTCTTCGCGCGGCGCCTTTCATATGGCCATGGGTCAAAAGCCAAATCGTACCCCCAGTGAACATCCCAATCCCCACTAAAATAGGTTCTAAAATGGGTGGTGGATTCACCTACCCCAAAATGGTACCATGGGTTTTGACCCACAGCCATATTGGCAGGAACGACATGAACGAGCCATCGGTCTTCAACGGCCCTGAGGTCTTGCACTTGGCTCGCCGATCTTCATGAGGTTCGGTCAAAGTGTATGGTAGTCCATGGTCCATTTGGGAGCATTTGGGGACTCCCAACATGTCCCACAAGAACAGCGGACTCACTGATTTTTCCATGCCCTTTATGGGTAATCGTACATTTTGACCTGCTCTCATGCCTGTGCTGCTGGCGCTGATTCATCTGGTGTTTCTTGGGATGAACCAGGTCACCATGCCAAGAGATGCTGTACATCCTTATGGGATGGTGGAGCACCGCGATGTGCACAACATGTGCGCCAAGCACCTGGAATGCGGCGTTTTGCCACATGGGTGTGGGTCAAAACCATGGGTGTGTTCTACAAGCAAGTTTTTTACGGGGAGACCTTTGACCAGTGAGTTCCGTGGTCTGCCTGTCAGTATCCCATTGAGAGCCCGGTGGAGGTATGGCTAAAACCACGGGTCTCCCTTACGGCCTGTTTTTAAGGGGAGACAAAGGCAAACCAGGTAACCAGTGGTTGCCATGGTCTGCCTGTAAAGATCCCATTGAGCCCGGAGGTATGGCTACTACGTGCATCGGGCCACCTTTGAGGGTCTTGCGAAGCGTACGCAAGGAGACAGGCACCTGGATGCGATTGCCGGTGCACATGTCTAGGGAGGCGATCTCACTTTGCGTCCACCTCACCATCAAGATTCAGTAGCTCGGACTTGCTGATTGAGCTTCGGTCACGCAACTCAATTGTTTCATCCATCAATCGGAACGTTCTACTGCATCAGGAACCAGGTGTTTCCAGCGTATGCACTGTTGCCATCTTTGTCAGTTATTCCATGAAAGTTAGAAGGGTCTATGGACATGAAGCATCTTGGTAGAACCACTAACTCTGATTTTGAACTGACTCCCGCTGAGCCCAGCTGAAACCGCCGAGCTTCGGCCAGGCCATTCGTGCTGACACGGTCCTTCTTCATTGGCTCACACAAGTACAGCGCCATTTGGACAGGCGTGCGCTTCTTTTTTTTTTGAAGTCGTGTGATCGATCAAGCGCTGATGAATTTGCCCAAGTGCAGAGCCAACGCCAAGCGCACCTTGAAGTTGTGTGATAGATGAAGCGCTCAAAAAGCGCTTTTGCCAAGCGTGGGGAAAAAGATCCAAGGGCTGAGTGAGCCATGGCCAGGGGACAACTACGCCCAGTGGTCCCACCTGAAGGCATCCATTGCCATGGCGCTTGCCTCAGCCTTCGGAGCCTTCGGAGCCGGCGAGGCTCACCCGTCGTTGACGTGGTGATATGGCTGTGGTTGTCAAACATAGGGGAACTTTAGGGGAACCGCAACATGAATTGCACTCTGGTACATGGAATCAAAAAGTGTATGGTGCTTTCAGATCAATTCTGCACAACTTGGGCCTTGGGCTTACCAGAAACAAAGACCTAGCCGTACCATTAAAAACGTTGAGTTTGGTTTCATGAAATAGAATTCGGGTTTGGCAATCCGCAGCTCTTGGCCTGGATGGATGGATGGATGGATGGGTGGGTGGATGGATGGATGGATGACTGGATGGATGACTGGATGGCCAGCTGGCCGGCTGGCTGGCTGGCTGGATGGATGGCTGGCTGGATGGACGGATGTGATGGATGGAGTGGCTTGATGGAGAAGCTTTGCCTGCTTGTATTAGCAAGTGCTTGCGTTTTGTTCTTTTCTTTTCACGCATGCTCAACTTGGCACATGCATGTTCCAATGGTCGCTCTGTTACGAATTGGGGTTGCCCCTTTCTTCCGAACCACCTCATTTTTTCTCAACAGCTGAAAGCTTTGGGGTCTCAACCCAGATAGGCTCCGGGGTTCCGGGAGCTGTTGGGGATATCACTTGAGCCACAATCTAAACCCGGGTAGATGATTGTTGGTAAGGGACAATCCCAATCATAAATAGCGGCCGCCTTCTGAATTCTTTACATGGTTCTGGGGATCGACCACTTTTAATACCTGGTTTTGATTCTAACTCACATGCTGCAGAAAACGTCTTTTGTTTCGAATCCGTGAGCTGTCCGGCAGCCCAGATTCCAAGGTGATGCGAAGAGATGGGCTGTGCCATGTACCCCAGTCCCCATTTTAATACCGGGTTTTGATGCTGACTCACTTGAGCTGAAGCTTTGTCAGGGCCGGGCTCGCTCGCCTTTGCCAGAAAAACCACGGTCTAAGGTGGGAGCCCTGACGCTGGGGGGCCAGTCCCTGGTGGGAGCTGCTCCTTGACAAGACGCGGAGTTGTTTGGCCGTTTGGGGGGGGGGGGGTTTGGTCCTCGATTTTTGGGACTGCACATATATTTGTGGCAGGTGTTTGTTGCTTCAGTTTTGACAGTTTTGTTTCTTCAGTCTTGGCAGTCGTGTTTCTTCAGTTTTGGCGGTGTTTAGTTTCTTCAGTGTTGGCTGTTTGTTGTTTCTTCAGTTTTGACAATTTTGTTTCATTTTCTGGTCGGCGCTGGCAAGGATAATCAAGAGGCACAAGAGGGGTTGACACAAGATGCAGCGATTGACCCTCACTTTTGCCATGAAGAAAGGACATCAACTCTTTCGAAGGACATTGTCAGGATTTGATTCGTGACCAGTCTTTGATATTTCACACCTGCACTTGTCATTGCCCATGTTTCCATCCATGCACAGTGCCCCAAGGAGGATACCAGAAAAGAAGAGGGCCACTAACACAAAAAGCCACGACGTGCATGTTCAATGCAGCGGTGACCCTAAAAGCCACGCTCATCATGCCCTCTTTGTCTCAATTCGGCTGCGTGCGTGGTGAATTTCAGATCTCGTCAGCGCCTGGACGCGAAGGTTTTTGGCGAGCATGGGACGTGCAAGTTCCTAGGATGTGGGTGGCTTCTTCAAGCACCCGGACCAAGAGATGACCGTGAGATGGCTCGGGGCCCAGCAAACAGACATGAGACGGAAGACTGTTGCAAGCCACTGCGATCCACCTAGCCAGTCCAACTCACTAGCATTGTAAACCACTGACACAGCCACTGAATTTCCAAAGCCCCCAAGACTTGTTTTGTTTGTACGCAGCTTTTGAGCCGGACAGGTATCAGCTCGCAGTGCTCATCTACCCGTTCCTGCGCAATCATGCTCACTTGGAGGCGGGGACATTGCAGCCAGGTTGCGGTTGGAACTGGACGGCCTGGACCAGAACTCTGGTCATGCCACAGCCTCCAGGCCCAGACTTCTTAGATTGTTGCCTCCCACCCTTGATCTTACCTTCGAAGCTGTTCCATGAGCAAATTCCGCAGTTCTTCGACCTTTTTGCGTCGACTCGCGCTGCCAGACACCTCGGCGGGAGCCCTATGTCTTCGATGAGCCCACGATGCTCCGGATCAAGGCCTCCCTGCAGCTCAGGCGGGCGACATGGTGGAGTGGGGGTGGTGGACCTCCTTTGGAGCGGGGTTGGGGTGGAATTGGGGTGGACTTGGGTGTGGAGTTGTGGGGTCAGCTCGACTGAACTGCAAGAAAACAAGAAGCAAAATGCCAAGCAACGGACGCCACACCTTTTGTAGAGCTTGCCTGCCTGAGCAAGAGACGACTTACACACCCACACACACGCACTTGCACACAAACACCATGTCAAGTGAGAGCCGGTCCGGCATGGCGCTTTATATCAATCCCCGCTTGCTTAGCGAGCAATTGCACTTTTCTGAAAGGGGCAATTGTGTTTGCAAGCCAGGTACAAGATGCTGCCACTGTGGTACACTCTGTTCCACCAGTGGAACACAGCTGCAGAGCCTGTGGTCCGCCCGCTGTTTTGGGACTTCTTGGTGGGGGCCTCATAGTCGCCCATCCGTCAGGTGTCTGCCCATCTGTCAGGTATCTAGCTGTCTGTTAGGCAGGTAAGGAACCATCGTTCAGGCAGGCAGTCAAGTCCCTTCCTCGAACGCCCGCTTATCCCCAGCTCTCACAAGGAAAATCGGCCTGGCGCAAGAAACTGCAGAGGTCACTACTTAATTATCAGCAGGAAACTCTGTTGGTGAATGGTCATCTGCCCCACCCCACTCCGTCCATGAGGTACTCTGTCTGGGTGCCCCGTCTGGTCAGATACGCCCTCTTGAAAGGCCATTTGGCATGTGGCTATGTTGCCAGCTTCGATCAGATCTCCTGTGACTGAGTTTTCCTCGCTTCATTGCTCAGGATGATCCTCAGACTCACGAGAACGAGCAGGCAGAATGTGTGCTGAGATGCTTCGCCTTCCGTACATGGGGTGTTGTTGTGATACGTGTATGGGGCAGTTCGGCTTTGGCCTTCTTGCCCGTTCCAAAACCACCCACTCGTGTGTCTTTATTTAAATAAAAATTCTGGGGGACCGTCCGAGTGAGTCCCGAGAAACCGAGTGAGTCACATCCCGGTCCGGGATGGACCCGGGATGGACCGATGGCCTTTTGTCGAGGCGCTGGAGGATCAGATCATGCTGGGGGAGGTGCTGCTGGTGCACGGCATCACGAAGCCCTCCTCGGAGCAGACGGAGGCCGGGGCGAGCGAGCGCTCGGGCGAGCGCTCGGGCGAGCGCTTGCTGTGCCGGCCGGACCGGCTTGTGTTCGGGTTGCGGGGTGCGGGGTGTTGATCCGTTGCTAAAAGCCTCTTATGAGGTGGGTGAAAAAAAGGAAGGCTTGGAGATGTGGCTCCTTTTTGCTGGTACGTTGGAGGTTTGTAGATACATTTCTCGATATGTTTGAGGTGGGTGAAAACAAGGAAGGCTTGGAAACGTTTGAGGTTTGTAGATCAATATCTTGATTTTGAGGTGGGTGAAAAGAGGGCTTTGGGGTTTGGCCCGTTTTGTCTGGTTCACTTTGTGGCCCGACGTTTCTTGAAGGGTGCCCAGAGTTTGGAGGCGTTGACGTCAGCAACAGGCTATGCTGTTAAAAACGGACGGTGCATTTGGGCACTCCTTGCCAGAGGCAAATTGTTTGCGTCTTAGATTTTTGAGTCTGCTTTCGTGAAGTCGCCGTGAGGCGCGCGGGTTGCGTGGGTGGGTGGCCGCTTGTTTCCCCTATTGCTGTGGGCGGCTAGCCCGGGATTTGGTCAGCAATTTTGCTCGGCCCTTTAGAGGAACGGAGAGGACAACAATATCAAATCTCACATATTCCGGAATGCACTGATCATTCCAAGCAATGCCTTGTGCAGGCGACGGTCTACTTGCCAAAAGCAGCTGGTTGGTGGCTCGCTCACCAGCCATTTCGACACATGCAGATGCATGTTCTGGCCATTTCAGACAGGTGGCCAGAGCAGTGGCCAACACCAACTCACCAACCACTTTCCTTAAATGTCACCATGTTGGGGAGGTTGCGCCAGCCCGCAAAAAAGCCTTGCCAAACTGGATGCCACAGAGAAATCAGTCAGACCTGCTCAGCGAAGTTTCTCATCCCCGGAAGTTTTGCCTTGACACTATGGCATTTTCGCTTGAGATAGCAGGCGACACCTGCCTAAGCGGCAAAAACCGCTTAGCCGCTCGCCAAGGTATAGCATCCAGGACGGGGCTTTCAAGAGCCCGGGGGCTCATGTCCACAAGCTGGACCTGGATAGCATCCCCGCCTACTACAAGGCTGGCACTGCTGGGAGCTTAGCCGAAGGCTCGGCACCAGCGAAGCGGAAAGTCCCTCAAATTCTGGGAGGCAGGAGTCCAAGTGCAAAAAAGTGGATTGGGCTCATTTGTTTTAAAGAACTCGGTGCTATCAGCAAAATATTTGGTTCAAGGGAGCACACTTCTTCAACTTGCAACCGTGTCTTTATGGCGCCGATCCCGGGCAAGAAGTCGGGTGTATTGTTGGCAGCATTTCAGACAGGAGCTGCCTGTGCAGCTTTGTGCCAATCGGCAGACGGCTGATTCTGAGAATGTGTTTGTGGTGCTGTCCTACTCAGTTTCCTCTGATCTGGAATTCTGTCAGCTTTGGAAGCTTAATTTCGAGCAGGGGTTCAAGCTCGGAATTCAAATTTGCATGGTGGTCCCTGGCAAAGCAAGCAGATTCAGCCGGAGCCACATCTCGGGTTATGAAAAGCCGAGGTGATTGCACTGCCAGTTTGCCAGAAATCCCTTCACAGCCAGTTCTCTGCATCTTGTCCCCCTCGCCGGCCTGCCTTTTCACGTTGCCGTCTTTGACCAGTTTGGATCCATCACACAGTTCCCACTGGCAAGTGGGTGTGTCTGGAAACAGCGACCCCTCCCAACAGTTTTTTCTTCTTCTTTTAATAATAATTATTATTATTAATATATATATATATATACATATGTATAAATATTTTTTTCCCAACATGTGATTTTCTTTGATTCTTGACAAAACCCCCTCGCGCAGACACACCTGAGCCACTGTTGCGTCAAGCGTACATTCCGGCCTGGTTGAACACCTTTTACCTAGCATTGGAGGAGTTCTGGCCAGGGAACCCAGGTTTGTTTTTGGGCGCTATCTGTGTTTTGGGGTTGTTTCAAAGGCAAACCTCCAGGAAAACCAGTTATCGTCCTGAGGTGCTGCTGTCTCTGTTTTGGTCCCAGGAAAACCGCTGAGGGTTCCCATCGTCCTGAGGTGGTGCCTCTCAAGTCCAGGATACGAAGAAGCTCCGCCTGCATGAGCCTGGACAGCGGGGAAGGGGGCGCGCGGGGACCCCGGTCCCCGCGCAGTTCCCCCAAGAAACTAGCAATGCTTCTATGTCTCACTCCCTGAGTTCCCATTCTTGTGGCAAGCAAAAAGTTTGGACTTTTGTTGGCCAATCCACTCAAGAATCGAGATGCCCTCTTGAGGAAACATTGACATTGGGTTTTGGCCAGCCCCATGTCCTCATGGTAATTTGGTGAGCCAACCCCTTACTGCAACGAAGATACAAAGGTGAATATTGGTCCTTGCATGAGGTTCGGTCAAATCATACAGTAGTCCATACTGAATTTGGGAACATCACAGGGACTCACTAAGTGTCCAAACATCAGGATACCGCAGTTTCCACGTCCTTTAGAGCAACCGCATTGACACTCACTTGGGTATGAACTTTAACTGTGAAGACTTTTGGTGGACATTAATTGGGGCTTCGTCAACTATGTTCTCCCTTAGATATCATACCCTAGGGATGGTTTGACTAAATTGGGCCCCTTCACCCTGTTGGTGGAGCCAATACCAACGCTAAAGTTGAAGTGCGCAATGCTCGATGGGCATGGTTGATCGTCTGGCTTGCCAGCCAAGAGCTACTTGTGTCTTGTAGGATCCCTTCACCCTGAATGTGTACCTGGATCCGCAGACGGGCCATGCCAAAGGCCGATGCGTTTTTGCTGTTGGCCCCATCCGCCAAGCTGGGTAAGGTTCTCGGGCGCAAATATGCCCGATGCGCCGTATGGAAGGAGAACAGGGAAACGACCAGCCACCAGGAATTGGACCGCAGGAATTAATTTGGCCCTTGTTTCCATTTGCCGCCCACAGCCATTTCAAGCGCCGTGGGCTTGGCCAACTCCAAGACTGGCTTGTGGAGGTCGCTTGTACATCGATGACTACCGCACTCGGGCCTACGAGGACGCTGCAATGCATGGAGTGCTGAACATGAAAGACGAGTTGGCTGGCATGTGCATGGGCATCATTGGGGGCCTGCCATTTGGCTCCAGCTTTGGAAAGAACGGAAAGAACGGAAAGACCTGAAAGAACTATGTGCTCTTTCAGTGGGCAAATGTCCGAGCTTGGAGGCAAAATGAAGGTCCCTCGCCTGGACTCGGAAAGGCAGACACGAAGCGCGTGCCTTTGAGTGCCATGCCGAGCGCCATCGCGGTAGGCTCACCCAACTGGGAGCCTTGGTCGCTTTGGTGTGCCGAGGGCAAGGATCTTTTCCATCGCAGAAGGTATTTCACTTGAACAATGAAGGCCCCTGTAGTGCTGCCGAAGATCCGATATTTTGTCGACAGGGTGCCTTTCAGACACCGGGGGGGGGGTCAACACACAAAGCAACATAAGGAGTAGTAGTAGGGTATTTCAAAAGCACTTGTGCTGTGCCTCAAAAGCCACCGCCTCAAGCCGGACAAGAACGGGTCTTCTTTCCCCGTTGATCACCCCAAGCCCGTTCCCTTGTTTGTGGGTTGCTAGATTGTAGGTCCTTTTATTTTTGTCCCCCTTTCTCCCCCCATTTTTGCATCACAATTAGATGACGCTAATTTTAAGAGAGTCGTAGTTGCCATTTTCGCCCTTTACCCGCCCTTTGCTGAGCGTTTTTTTGGCGCTTGCCTTTGGCGGACCGCACCTTGAGGACACCATGGCCTTTGTGTCGGATGCCTTCCTAGAGAGCCAAGGCCTGCCACGAGGCGGAGACGTCCGGAGGTTCTCAGCGTTTTGCTAGTGAAAATTCCACTCCCGCCTCAAGACTCAGCAGGAGGGGGGCTACCAGTTTGGCGGTCGAAAATCACAATTTTCCTTTCAGTGGCTGTGTCCTACTCCTTTGAGGTTGCACTTCCCGAGTTTTCAGGAAAAGAAAGCCCAACAGTTTACTTCATCCCAGCCCCCCGGCTCCAAAGAAGCAAAAACTGTAGTTTGCTTCATCCATGCCCAGACCCTCCATGCCACTCAAGCGCCTTCTTCTGCCAGGCGACGCAACGCCGCTGGCAGACGGCGGCGCGGCTGAGCTAGTAAGTGGATTCGGCTGGGGCTCAAAAAGCCGGAATTCCAAAATGGGCTGCCCTGGTAAGTGGAAACATGGACCAAAACCTGCGGTTTGCCCCTCCTGCTTAATTTTGAGCCACACCCATTCTGCGCGAAGCGATGGGACGGATTTGGTGAGACAGGCGACAGGCAGCTGCACCTGTCCTCAAGGCGCTGAGAATACTTGACTGCTATTGGGTTGGATCTTTAGACTTTCACTTTTTGGGAAATAAAGGTGTTTTCCACTAAACTTCCAAAAAGTTAAACTTTTTGCAGGGGGTCAACAGCAACCAAGAATAGTTGGAGTACCATTCTCCTCTTCATTCCTGGACGGGAGCATTCCACATGCATCAGCCGAGGAGTTTGCGAAGCTGAAGGCGGCTGCGTCTTTGGCCTCCTGCAGCGGGGTGGTTTCGCAGTGCGGCGGCTGCGCCTGCAACACGGCCAAGGCGCGTACGACGAGACTATGGCCATGGGTCACAAGTCACATCGTACCCCCAGTGAACATCCCAATTCAACCACTAAAATAGGTTCTAAAATTCGTGGTGCACTTACCCCAAAATGGTACCATTGGTTTTGACCCACAGCCATATCTCGTTGCCGGCTTTCTTGCTTTGCGAACGCCGCCCCCTATGTTTGCTGGCACTCAGCGAACTATTCACGTGCTTTGGGGCAACTAGTCGAAGCTGCTGCTTAGACGACTGGCTCGCCCATAGCGCCATTTTGCGTTGCAGGTGCTTGCTTGCCTCGGATGTGACACGTCCTTCTGCGGATGTCTGGGCAGCAACGAAGCTACTGGATCTAGCAGATTGGAGCCGGTAGTTGTTCTGTTTGCAGGTCGCGCGTTTGTGTAACCGCAGCCTTTGCTTCCGCAAATTGCTTGCAGCTTTTTCGGCACTTGATCACCCTTCAGCCCCCAATTTGGGCGTGATTTTTAATACCTGGGCTGCTTAAGACCTGCTTGAGACATGCTATGCAATGTCTGCCATGCTCCAAATATTTGGTTGTTCGGCGTTGAAGAAAAGGTCATCAACCCTTTGGTGTGGATGTACGACAGCCATTGCAACTTTATCTACCTCCAACGGGGCCAGAGCGGTGAATGCTTGATACATGCCATGCAATGGCTGTCCTGCTCCAAACATTCGGTCAACCCAGCCAGGCAAGGGTGCCAGCTTCGAAATGTTTTTGGCCGCGCAACTTGTCCACGTGCCCAAGGTTGCCGAAGAGTTTCGGGAAGGTCTGCTGCGGCTTGGCGTGAAGGATTTGACCATCCAGGCGGTTGATGGGAGGGCAAGGGAGATTGACCAGGGGTTGGGTTCTTGGGGTTGATCTTGGATTTTAGCAGTTGTGGTTCAGGTCGAATGGCTGTAGCCGGCCAACCTGTTTCAACTCGTCCAATTACATTGTTCCGAGGTGACAACTAAGCACATGCTCAAAAAACTGCCACAGAAAGAATGATTTCCTGTCCTCCCACCCTCCAACATGCACACATTTTGTGGACATGCAAAGCATGAAGCTTCCTCCATCTTCTTGTTTTTTGGTGAGTGCAGGCAGCTGCAGCGACCGGCGAGGTCCTTTGCTTGGTCACACCAGATGGGGAGAGGACCTTCGCTTACCGCACAGGCATGTTGGAAAGACGAAATCAGGTGGCTCAATCAGCGACAATCCAGCACCCCCACCGGTTTGGGAGCAATTTGTGGGATTACCATACATCTTTGAATAACTTGGTCAGGACATGGGCTGACCCGCTACATCCTCACAAGAATCAGGGTGACTGCCCAGTTCAACAAAGAATGCGTTTGAACCTGTTGTTTGGAGGGAGCAAGGGAAAGGCATGACTGAACAATCGGCTTCTTTTGCATGCCAATGGTGAAGCTCAGTGAGGATGATAGCTACCGTGACTCTCAGAGCCAAAGCAGCATGCCTTGATGTTTCTAGGGCCATTATTTTGACTGTTTCTGGGGGTTATCAAAGTCAGAACATGGAATTGTTTCCCTTCAACCCACCACTTCAGGGCTGACTTTGATCATGGTGAAATAATGGGGCCAGTGTTTCAGGCATGGCTTCGGCTCGCGTTCTTCGCGAAAGCGTCAAGCGCCGACCTGCCGCGAGGTGTTGCGTCGGACTCGCTGACGGCAGCCGACCTTTGCGCAGCTCTTGACCAAGCGGGCGGCTAAGAGACATCAGTTTCGGATGGTGCGACGTCATTGTCAGCAACTGAAGGAGCCGAAGATCCATCTGCAAAATGGGGTGTCTGCAATTTACAGCAGGCCAGGAGCCATTGATAACTGCAAGTTGTCTACTTGACTGACTGCGTAGGCCCGGGACATAGGGCCGGGTTTTGGCACCTTGCCTCGTCCTTTTGGAGGTGGTCCAAACCCAGGCGGCCGCAGCTGCAGCGCTGGATCTGGTGTACTTCGACATTTACACCTTTCTTTGCCCCGGTGACCTGGCGGAGGCGCGGGAGGTATGGGGACGGGTCAAAAGACAAACCAGGAATTGGACCGCAGGTTTTGGCCCATGTTTCCATTTACCAGGGTTTCATTCAGGGTACCTGTTGTTGACCCACAGCCACACGGGAATTGCACAATTTCAATGCTTTGTGTTGTTTTTCTTCGGCTGTTTTGTTTTCTATGCTGATGCTGGCGGCGGTGACTTTGGGACTGGTTTGCTGATTGCTGCTTGTTGCTGCTTGTTGTTGCTAAGTGGTTCGGTTCTTGATTGGTTTCACATGTTTGCTAGTTGTTGCTAGTTGTTGCTAGGTGTTGCTAAGTATTGCTTATTGTTGCTTATTATTGCTTATTGTTGCTTATTGTTGCTTACTCTTGCGACTGCTTCTTCTTCTTCTTCTTCTTTTCTTCGTGTTCTTCGTTCTTGCAATCAATTGGTGGGAGCCTTCGATGCTGTTACTGCTGCAAAAAGTAACTCGTCTACGAACATTGCCACTCCCTCAATGGAGATGTAATTCTGGCATGCAAATGGCGATTCTCTTTCCGTTACTGGTGCTCTTGTCGCAGCTTCTGCCAACTGCCATTGTTCAGTGTCTTGTCAGGAGGTCAAAGAATGTGACACCTTGGACTCCATCCTTGGCCAACCCACTGGGCCAGAACCTTTCCCTTCCCCATTTTTACTTAAAGGGTCGATCGGGTACTTAGTAAGTGGTTAGTAAGCCAGGTTACAACCCACTTAGGTGACTTATAACTATGATAAGTCTGTTAAAACCATGTACCCACTTACCTGACGTACCTGCTGCCCCAAGCAGGGTCTGTGCTCAGGAGGGCATCAAGAAGGCGCGCGCGCTGGGCGCCAAGGTGGGGCTGAACCTTGGATCCAGTGGCATCGTGCGCGCGCAGCCGACGCCTCAGCATGATTTGGGTATGGGTCAAATTTAAACCGCCAGGGGAGCGCAGGTTTTGGTCCATGTTTCCACTTACCAGGGTTCCCTTTTGGGTACCGATTTTTGACCCACAGCCATTTCTCCCAAGTGCTTCGCTTGGATGATTCTAAAGCTGTTCTGATCGGCTGGCTGGGAGCTAGCATCCCACTCCAAACAGACGCAGCAGGTAACAACGCATGTAGATGTTTCAATTTGCGCAGGGAATGATGGCACGACTGTAGTCGGAGACGATTGGATTTGCATCAGAGCGACATGATCGAATCTTCCGGGGCGTCTCATTCCAGGGCCCTAGGCCCGTCTTTCATCACAAGATCAGATGCTGGGTGAATCATTGGTGGCATCTTAGACGCTCTGGCCCACCTATTTCTCCAAGAGAAGGATCCGTGTTGCAGACTTTGATTTGTTGCAGGGGCTTCAAGAAAGCAAAGGCCATTAAGCACAGGAAAATCGTATGCTTAGTGCCCAGATTCCGGCATGATTCAATGTCTTTAAC